CAAAAGAGGATTTAAAATCAGATTTATTATCCATGGGTAATTTGAAAAGCCCCATTTATGAGAAGATTCAGGTCTTTAACGACCTCAACCAAGTGGCCCCACTTTCTTGTCCAGCAGATTTTGGGAAATCCAAACGACTTATGCAACCACTGCCCTTTCATTATGTTCGACGCACTTCCAAAACTAACACTGCCATAGCTATCAAGGGCGATAAATCAAGGGACTCAATTAAAGCAAATTTATTGGAAGCTTTTAATGAAGAAAGAGGAATGCCTAACGGTTCATCTCCATCATTACAGAAAAACAGTAAAGTACTCCATCAGTCTCTTTCCTATGGTTTGATTCATTCCACCAAAGATGTCTTAGCAGTCAGTTCTACGCCCCTTACCTTTTCTGATGAAGAAGATGACTATGTGATTAGTGTAAGCAGTTTAGACTCTCCCGCTGCCTTAGAAAGTTCTACTCATTTGGAGGATCTTTCACCGTTGATTGAAGATGTTCGCAAGTTATTTGTTGACAAAGAACCAGTAGGCGACATTCCTCCGTTTTTTAAAGAGGTTGGCATACCTCTGGTCTCCATTAACCCTTCCTCGTGAAAATCCTTTCTTGGAATGTCAGGGCCTGAATAATCAAAAGAAACAATTGAAGATCAAACGTTTCATTCAAAACCATTGTCCTGAGGTGGTTCTTTTGCAAGAAACAAAGCTGCAGCAAGATGATAACATGCTCATTAAATCCTTATGGAGTTCAAAAGATATTGGCTGGTCAAGCATCACCTCCTTCGGAAAATCTGGAGGAATCCTTATCTTATGGGACGAGACCAAAATTAGAGATAAAGAAGTTCTCAAAGGGGGGTACTCCTTAACAATCTTGATTTCCAATGTTATTGATATATGGATAACAAATGTTTATGGTCCAACAGACTATCGGGAAAGAAAACATCTTTGGTCTGAAGTTCGCGATTTATCCTATTATTGCGACAATGCTTGGTGCCTTGGAGGTGATTTCAACATCACTAGGTGGTCCTCAGAAAGATCTTCAGGAGGAAGAATTACTAGAGGCATGAAAAACCTCAACAGCATCATTGAGGAGCTAGATCTCTTAGAGATCCCCTTGTCAAAAATGGGCGAGGACTCCAATTGCTCTTTGTTAGACCGTTTTCTAGTATCCAGGGCATGGAATACTCTTTTCATCAACTCAAGAGCCTTTAGAGCAGAAAGAATTACTTCTGATCATTTTCTGGTATTCTTGGAGGCAGCGAATTTCTCGTGGGGTCCTAGTCCTTTTCGTTTTTTCAATTCTTGGTTGTGTGACAAAGATTGTATCAGGTTAATTGAATCTCAGCTTGCAGTCAACACCTCGTACGGTTGGGCCGGTTTCAGCTTAGCTTCCAAGCTCAGAAATCTTAAAACACCCCTCAAACAGTGGTATGTGCAACAAGAGAAACTGAAAAAGGCAAGTGAAAGGAAGATTATTGAAGACATTCTTGCTATTGACCATTTAGAAGAATCTGTTGGCATTTCAGCAGCAGATAGGGAGAGGAGATGTTCTCTAAAGGCTGATCTTTTAAACCTGTATATAGTAGAGGAAAGGAATCTGATCCAAAAAAGCAAACTTCATTGGTTAAAAGAAGGTGATGAAAATACTGGTTTCTTTCACAGATATTTGGCAGCCAGGAAATGAAAGTCCATGATTTCAGAATTAGTAGATGAAAGAAGCTCCTCCTTAGTCACGCAAGAAGAGATTGAAACAGAAATTATCAACTTCTTTGATAAGTTGTTTACTAAAGAACAGACCACAAGATTTTCACCAAGAAACATTGACTGGAGGCCTATTTCCAACCAAGATCGTTTGTGGTTGGAAAGGCCTATTTCCCTTTCTTTTATTGTTAATAATTGGGATGTTTTTATTTGGCCTTCTAATTTTGTTGTTTAGATTCTGTATTTTTGTTTTTACGTTTCTTTTTCACTCTTTCGAGAGTTTGTATCCTTGCATAATTATTGTTCCTTTTCATTTCATCAATGAAAAGTTCGTATTTTGTTAAAACAAAAAAAAGAAATATATTTACAAGGACTGAGACTACTATTTTTTACCCTAGGATTGCAACAACAGCCTGACCAAATCAATCATAAACTCGTACGAAGTCTTGGAATGTTGGAACTTGAACAATGAATAAATAAGATAGGAAAAAAGTTAGAGAACACAAAACATAGGAATGCAGTTCATATATGGCAACCAAGTCGTTCAACAATCTTCAGTTGCTATAAGAAGTGCTTCTTAATCTGACCATGATCATGGAACAATGAATAAATAAGAGCAACAATAAATGAAATTAAACCCAAACACTATCAGGCCTATCACTATTAAAGTCAGAATAATTTCCATGCTTGTGAAAGACAAATATAACAGTGCTAAAATAGAATCACCTGGTTAACACGCCCCTTCCGGAGTACTTCAGGAGATAGCTTGACATATTTAAGAAAGGCTGCAGCATGGCCTCGCCACCAGTTATCACCATGGAGTATGGGTCGCCTGTAGCAGATAATTTTTTTTGGATAAGATAAAGTGAAACATGGCAGATAAATTTAATACGGAGAAATGAGAAATGGAGAAGAAAATGTTAAAAGATGAAAGAGAAACATATGTACTCAGAATATCTTAAACCATAGAATAATACATTTACATTACACATTCCTTTTAGCAAAATTCTAGTTCAAAAATTCTAGATAAAGGAACTACTTGTTACGAGTCCATGGAGTCAACATCCCTTGCCGATAGAGCCATACACAAGGAAATGAGCAAGGGTTTCTTCCAAAATCAAGCAGTGGCCCCTACACAACATGGCTTAGATGTAATTTTCTCATTACAAAAAAACCTTATAAAAAAATCAATTGATATACCGTGTAAGCAGCTTCAGCAAATTTATGAAGGACAGCAGCATCCCGAATTTTATCTATAGGAGCCTCCATTAGCTCTTCCGAAGATTGTGTTGATTGGCCATGCCTTTGCAATAAAGCAAGACCTAAAGCAACATATTTTAGTGTTATTAAATATTTTTTAATAAGAAACAAACTGTGAAAAGGAAAATAATGCTAGAGGACACAAACTCCCAAAGGAGCGAAAAAGAACAGGAAAAAACAGTCAAATGAAGAAAAAAAATCAAAATGATATTAGAGAAATAAAACAATGATGAACAAAACATCTAAATGAGAACATAGGATTTAAACAAGAGAATCTTCAATCAAAGGAGAAAGGTTCTGATCTGCTCCCTCCAAACTTTTGGTACCAGAAGTCTATCCATTGTCTAGAGAGGCAGCTTCCCCCATAAAAAGAAATTTCTTCAAGCTTTCGAAATCCAACAATCCAGCCAAGCAGAAACCCTCGCACTTAGGGTCTTTTATTTTTAAAAGAAATCAAATGCATGCACCGCAAAAATCAGAATGTATGAGATTTTTTTTCTTTTTTTGGAAAGAATCTCAACAGTCATATTTCCACCAATTCTTTCCCTCCCACGTCCTTTCTTCTTCTATTCCTTCGCATGCACAAAAAAAGCCCAAAAGTCGTATGCCTCTACCCTTCATCTGCTATCTTTCCCCCTCTGTATCTTTTCCTCTCTTTGCAATTTCTCCAGCCACAGTCTTGCTTGCTTCCCGTCTGCAATTTTTTCTCCAACTCACAGTAAGCTCTCTCTCTCTCTCTCTTCTTTGATTTCTATTCCTCCRACACTATTTTCTATTCTGTTCTTTTTTCTATTGATTACAATTTTACATAGATTTTTAACGAATCCAAGAGTTATAATGTTTTTGAATCTTATTTGACTTTTATATGTTTTATGTGTGTGTGTATATATATATATATATTTTTTTTATCTATTTTTATATATAGTGCACCTCGTGAAAAAAAAATCCTTTTTTTTTGCGCGTCGCACTTAAGCTGTAAATATCTATTGGGCTTTAGTGCGTCTCAAACTTTTAAAAACACTGGGTACAGCTCGAGGAGCACCATCGCTACTGTATAATTTTTCAAAAAAAACCCAAGATTTCTTGTTTAATTTCTGCATGATTTGCAAGAACAACCCCAAATTCATTATGAAGCTCTGAAATAGGAGTCTTCCCTTTTCTAGCCGCCAAGATTCTATGAAAGAACCTTGAATTCTCATCACCTTCTTTCAGCCATCTAAGCTTGCACTTCTTAATCAGATTTCTCAAAAGCTACAGTGATTATCCGTCTTCTTCTTTCTCCAGTGAGGGGCCAAATGATCATTTCAAACTGTAACCTTGAGACATAGTAAAAGTTTTTAGTCTTACAGATACTAAACTCACTTCTGGTCATGTTCGAAAAAGGAGTTCAGATTGGTAGCTATAACATATCCACAAGTTGTTCTTCAAACCAGGCCAGCAGTTGCAACTTCATGGGCATACCACACGTCTTCCACATAAACCAGTCATCTCCAAACCATAAAAAGAATGCGAATTTTCCACACTGCAACTATTAATTTCCATGATAAAACAAAAATAAAAGAACTAAAGACGGAGGCTAAAACCACACAAACACAAATCTGAAAGGTGGCTAAGGAAGCAAAACTAGAGATGAAAGAAGAGAGAAAGGAGGGAGGGGGAGGTGAGAGAACAGAGCATTTTTTTTTTAACAAGAAACGAACTTTTCATTGATGAAATGAAAAGGAACAAAAATTGTTCAAGGAAACAAACTCTCGAAAGAGTGAAAAAGAAACAGAAAAGAAACATAAAGACCAAATAAAGACATCCCAATTGTTACAAATAAGAGAAAGAGAATATTGTGAGAATGGCTCAGAAAGAGAACACCAACGAGATGCTTTGAGCTTGGCGGATGAGAGACAATCAAGTAGAGATCGTCTTTTGCTCTTGAAGATCCTTGAATTCCTTTCAAACCAGATTTCTGAGAGAAAACTCTTCACCACATTAATCCATAAAAATCTTGCCGACGGTGACAAATGTGTGATTCCACTTAGCAATTGAGTTAGATTTGCTTCAGCCTTCAAATCAAAAACCCAACTAATCTTGAACTGATAAAAAGAGAAATCCACCCTTGAGTGCAATAAGAGCAAAGAAAGAACAGATGGTCAATATCTTCCCCACTTGATTCACAAAGAACACAATAAGAAGGGAGTAATGAAGCTGTGGGAAGTTTCTTTTGAAGCACATCAGCAGTATCTAACTTCCTTTTGAGCATAATCCAAGAGAAGATATGACTTTCCTTGGGCTTTTAGACTTCCATAAGGCTGTAAATAATTCCTTAGGCATCAAAGAGGAATTATGTAATCTGCAAACTGAATTTACAGTGAACACCCCTGTAGGATCAATGTTCCATACTCTTTGGTCTTCCACATTAGTAATCGAAAAGGAGCTGATCACATGTAACAGACCAGCAAACTCTTGTAGCTCATCTTCCTTCAAAGGCCTTCTCAAAATAATATTCCATGAACCAGTGGCCATATCCCAAAAATCTGCAACAGAACCATGAGGTGATAAGGAAAGCTTAAACAATCTGGAAAAATTTTCCTTTAATGGACTATGAGTAGTCCATCGAGAATGCCAAAAATAAACCCTACTGCCACAGCCAACTTTGTAGGAGACGAAGGCCTCAATACTCCTCCATTGTGCAGAAATTTTCCTCCATGGACCACGGGAACCCCCAATACTCCTTGAATTCGTAAACCACCCATGAGGCTCAACTCCATAAATGCTTGCCACCACTTGACTCCAAATTGACGTGGTCACAACCAAACCGCCAGCCCCATTTTTCTAAAAGAGCATCATTTTTCCTTGAGATACCACCAATGCCCAGGCCACCATCTTCCAAGCAAAGAGAGGTAATTTTCCAATTGACCAAAGAAATTACCATTTTGAGTCTCTCTGCTAGTACTTTTGCCAACACCTTGTATATTGAAGTAGAAAGGCTTATTGGTCTAAAATTTTTGGTCCTAAGAACGTTCTTTTTTTTTTTGAACAAGATACGAACTTTTCATTGATAAATGAAAATGAACAAAATTGTTTAAAGATACAAACTCCCATAGGAGTGAAGATACAGGAAATAAATAAAAGTAAGTATTAGAAGAAATAAAAACCATAAACTTAAAGAAACCTCCTTAAAGGGGAGTTATAAGAGCCTCCCAATTCGTACAAAGCATATTAGGAGAATAAGAAGAGAAGAGATCGGAACGAACACACCATTGGGAGGCTTTGAATTTGGCGATTGAGAAACACTCCATAGGAGATCGATTCTTGCCTTCAAATATTTGTTGATTTCTCTCAAACCACAATTCGGAAAGAAGAGCTTTTATTCCAAAAGCCCAAAGCATATTAGTTTTAGAGCTTGCTTGCAGCCCACTGAAAAGCTGAAAAATGATTTGAGGCACCTCCAGATCCCACACCCATGAAACTCCAAACATAGATAGGAATTTTTTCCAACGGACCACTGCATAGCTACATGAGAAGAAGACATGCCTTTGGGTTTCCCCACTTGCTTTGCACAGTAAACAACATGATGGCTGCATCAAAGAATAAAGATGTCTCTGAAGTGTTAACTTTGCCCATTAGAAGAATCCAAACCATGAAATTAACTCTCTTTGGACAAAAAGGGTTCCATAGAATAGGTAGTACTTCCTTAGGAAAATTAGAAACCGAATGCCGGAATTTGCTCAACGATCGAACTGAAAATAAATCCGAAGCTTTTAAACTCCATACTCGATGATCTTCTGAATCAGTGATGGAGGTTGAAGAAAGCAAGGATAAAAGATTTGCCAATTCAATAACTTCATTATCCTTCAATGATCGCCTAGTTGGCAGCCTCCAAGAATAACCAGTGTTATCCCAAGCATCCGCAATTAATACCTCTAATGGAAAACTTTCGTGTGGGGATTCTAGAATAGAGCTGAGTGAAATAGCCCAAGATTGCACCTTCTATGTCCTGTTCATTTAGTAGAGCCAAACCATTAGAGTCTGTAATTTCAGTAATCATAATTTTCCTTTTCCGAGCAGCGAGATACCGGTGGAAGAAACTCAAATTTTCATCACCTCAACCATTGAACTTTGCATTTCTGAATTAGTACTCGTTCTTCCTCAATAAAGATATTAAGTAATTCATTTTGAAGGGAAGAACGAAGACTTCTTTCCTCCTCCAATAGACCAAGAGCTTCTTCTTTTGCATCTAATGTGGCAATCTCTGCAGTGATCTTCTCTTACTGCCTCCTCTGATCTCGAACTTTCTTTTCGCTCCACTGTTTGAGAGTGGATTTTAAATTTCTGAGTTTTGAATGAATAACATAACCTACCCATCCATAAGTGGTATATGTTGATAACTTGGACTCAATTAGGTGCACACATTCTTTATCTTTGAGCCAGGAATTGTAGAACCGAAAAGGGCTAGGACCCCATACAAAATCCCCGGCTTCTAAGAAAATTGGAAAATGATCAGAGGTAATCAGCTCGGCTCTTGAAGATCTTGAGTGTGAAAAAGCTCGTCCCAACCTTTAGTGATAAGGAATCTATCCAACAAAGAATGAATTGAATCATTTCCAGGTTTTAACCAAGTAAACTTTCAGAGGAACCTCCAATAAGTCCAATGATTCAATTGTGGAGTTGAACTTTTTCATAGCCTTTTGAAGAACGTTCTGATGTCCACCGAATAACGTTAAAGTCACCACCAAATGGTGACCAGGCTTCCAGACTTACCGTATGAATTAAGCACGGCCCACCCAACGTCTCTTGAACTCCATAAGGATTTAATAATGGTTCGATCCATTATTTGAATTTTCGATTCTTGTATAAAGATCACGTCCGGACAATGTTTCTTCACAAAATTCTTTACCTTTAGTCTTTTTTCTGCCTTGCATAAACCTCTTATATTCCAAGAGAGGATCTTTATTATTCTTCAGATAAAGGTATCAATGTGATACCAGCTTCTTTGAATAATGAAGGAACCGGTTGGTCTTCTGTAGACAAATTATCAAAGAGAGATTGAAAATCTTCCATAAAAGAATCTTCACCCAAGACTTCATTGGAGATATCAAGAGAATTTGAGATGTAGGATGAAGCATAACTGCTGATACTAATTTCAGAATTGCTGCCGTCATCCATATTATTCTGGTTTGAGAATCGAGACACCCCTTCATTGGTGGAATTGATTACTCCTTTAACCAACCGATGAGACATCTGCAGAGAATTGATGGTTGTTGGGTTAAACTCCCTTTCCTCATTAAATGCACTCAACAAATTAATTGTTGGTTCATCCTTTAAATTAATCCTTTGAAACTCCTTAGAATTCCTTTGTGTATAAAAAACAGGTAACGGAGAGATACGCCCGTTATATCGCTTGGATTCCAACGGACAGGATTGCCCTTTGAGGCTCCTTCCTTCCAGTGAAATAATTTTTTGTGAATAATTGCTATTATTCATAATCTCAAGATCCTCTACCTTTTCAGACTCTCGCAGGAAAATCCCAAGATTTTCCTAGCTGTGAACTATCTTCAGATTTTCAGAAGAATTCAAATTTGCCTTGATTAAATCGTCCTCTGCCACCTCACCCTGCTCCAATCTCTCTCCGTAATCTGATGGAGATACCGAGGTTTCTCTTTCCTTATTTGAAAGATCAACCGTCGCTCATTTATGTGATTAGTAATTGCCTTACTAATTTCAAGAGAATTCAAATTGAAACTGCCCATCACCTTTTCTTGCTCTAATCTCTCTCTGCATTTATCATCGTTGAGATTAACTAAGAGCCATTCGATATTCTCTCCCTCCTTATTCTGAATATCAATCGTCGGTTCTTTAAGAATCTTGGCGTTCTCCCCAGATAAAACTGCCTTTTCATTTTCGTCGTTTAATTCCCCAACGTTTGACGCTTCAATTTCTGTTTCAACTACCGAATTTAATATTGCTTCTTCCTCCTGCGTCTGTTCATCTTCCAAATCGGTTTCTATAGTATCTGAATTTTCATCTACTAGAATCCTTCGAAATCTATTAACATCTAAAGGATTTGAGAGTAGATCCATGTCAATATTTGGATCGGATGAAGCGGCTGAGTATGGAAGATTGTTAGCAGAAATTCAAGCCTCAAAAGATCCATATTTTTCATCAGTAATCTTCACGATGGCCGGAATAAAGCCACAGAAATTAGGTTCAACCTTGATGAAGGCTTCAGAGGCTTCCAACATGTTAAGAGTCTTCGTAGAAATTTTCAACAAACCACCAAGTTGTGCTCCAATCGCTTCAAAAGTTGAACGAGTCCAATAATATAGTGGTAAGTCCTTAATAGTTAACCAACCACCATATCCATGAATGAATTCCTTCCTGTTATGCAAATAAGGACTCCATTTTTCTAATTTCAAATGAAAGTTCCCAATCTTCCTCCATCTTCCATTAAGTTCAGAAGACTTGAGAATCCTATCACCGTTAAATTTTAGAAGTCCTTTTATCAGCCATGATTGGATTAATCACACAATGAAGTGTGAATCTTTCTTTTAAGGCATTAGCAATCGCAATCCAATCGTCCTATTCCAATCTAATTCTAACACCTCTGTTTCTTTCTGAAACCAGTAAGTTTGAACTTTGTCTGCTTTGGTTTTCATTTTGTTTGCTGCCGACCTTTGTATGATGCCTATGGTGCTAGCATCTATTTTCCTTTTTTCCCAGCTACTACCTCTGCATAAGATCTTTCATTCTGGACAGATATTCTTCTCTTTGGGAGGACCCCTACTTTTCTTTTCTTCGTCAAAGTTCATAATCGGGTGAGCTCTTCTTACCTTCTGCATTGCTTGTGCTTCCGTTAATCTAACAGAAAAAGTTTTCAACATCCTCCAAAGTACTTGCCATCCATCCCTCTTGGAGCCAACGGGGATAAGAATGCTCTTGCGACCTCCTGTAGAAGGCCATACCACCCACTCGAGAATCCATAGACCATTAACACAAAATTTTTGAATTCGACATTGCCCAAGATCGTCATGAAGCTGAAAAAATAAGGAAGCATGGATCTCTTGCTGAGTAACTTCTTTCATATGGTTTTCAAACCAAAGTAATTGTGAAGAATGCAAAGTCATCAAAGCTTTTCTTGATACGTCCTCTAGCATAAACATATCATTTTCGAGCCAAATGCAGAAAAAAGAACCATCGATGCAACAACTACTTGCTTCCATCGTGGATTGAAACCGGATGATCTCTTAAAATGATGCTAAGAGTAAGCTAGGGCAGGCTAAGATGGAAACTTTCACCAAAGAAGAAACCGAAAGGAGGAGGAGAGAGAACAGAGCATTTTTTACCAAGCTCTTCCTATCCTGCAGGAGCAATACAAATATATTGGAAGATAAAGAACAATCAACCCGAGAGCCATCGTTGAACAGCATTCAGAACAACAGAGCATTTTTTACCAACCTCTTTTAGAAAATTTTAGTTTTCTCTCTTTCTTTTCTTTTCCCTTCAAGATTTACTCCTTACAAAGTTTGTATATTTGAACAATTTTGTTCCTTTTTATTTATCAATGAAAAGTTCGTAGCTTGTAAAAAAAAAAAAGAATGCATATCTATTTAAAAGATCCAAATATGTAACAAATGACATATAGCAAATGCAAATGACATAAAGACTATTAAAAGATTGTGCAGAATTTCAACTAAACCTGCCAAAAATTCCAAATGCCCAGTGCCAGATGAACGATAAGCAACAAGATCACCCAATAATTGTGCCACCGAGGAGACCTCGTCTTCTTCCATGACGCTCCTAAAACATAATGCCAGTATAGGAAAATTAGAAAGAGTAACACAAATATAGAGCATATACGTATTAAAAAAAAGAAAAAGAAAAAAGACATACAAGTATTTGGAACGTCCCAAACAGCATAATGCCTCACGAATTCCATAATCAAATATCTCACTATAATGTGCCTTCCATGCATGATCTTGAGTTTCATAAAATGACCTCCACCTTAGAACATCCATACCAGTGAAACACTGAACCAGTGCAACAAAGCACACCAAGATTGTAAATAAAACCAGTAACTTTCGTCTCCACCATCTATCATTTGAAGCCACCCCTGCATGTATCACATGTGTACAACAGAATTTCAAAGTCTTAAACACTCGTGCACAAGCACACAAAAAATTAATCTACAGAAAAAGTTAACCATTTCCTTTTTCAATTAATCTAAGGAAAAGCAGATTTATCAAAGTACCCTTGGTAAGGTTGGAAATGGAAGTTCTACCATGTTCTAAAAAGACTATGGATTGGGCAAAGATCCTTTTGTCTTGCTTTCCCTCTACTGTTTGCGCTATCAGACTCAAAAGAAGCATCTATAGCAGATTTATTACGGGACCACCAAAACAATACTTTGCTATATGTTTTCTTAGGAATTAAAAGGAAGAGGAAATCAGGGAATGAGCTGCTTTGATCTCTCTTATTTCATCAGCTCACCTTTTCGACCAAACTGATTCGTGGGTGTGGAACCTTGAAGAAAAAGGAGATTCTCTCTTCAAGATCCTTGATTAATAGTTTTACATGGTAGATGTTGGTTTTATGTATTTTAGTAAATATTTATTAATTATCTTTTCTCTTGTATTATCTATAATGAGTAGATAATTGTTGGTTTATTATTTGTAAATATTAGTTGTAATATTAATTGTTATTTTCTTTTAGGTATTAGGCCTCTCTACTATATAAGAAGTTATGTAATTCTTCCCAATATACTATTTTAGAATATAATATTTTATTCCTTAAAACCAAGTTAGTTGGCATCAGAGTCAAAATAAACCCTAATATCCTAGTCACCATCCCTACCTTTAAACCCTAGCCGCCGTCATTACCGTTGCCGGAACCCTAGCCGTTGTTATCCAAGAACGGCGCATCCTACTTCCAGCACGTAGGTCACTATTCCGGCATTCGTCCTCTTCGGCAGTAGTGTCGTTCGAGTTCGTCGTTCAAGGGGGATCTTCACGGGTTTGTCGCGGATTTTCTGGGCTTGGTATGTCGACGTCGTGTGTTGTTCGCCGTCGAGATCTGTTGCCGTTTGCTACTGTTCGAGCCTCGCGCCCATTTTACGCCACCGTCCGCTGCTGTCCAAGCCGCAGCCGTCCGCTGCTGTCCGAGCCATCGCCGTCCGCTGCTGTCCGAGCCGTCGCCATCCATTGCTATTTCGCAGATCTGATTTTGTGATCGTGGGCTATTCTACAAAACCTACATCGGTTGGCTTTGTCCAGTTTGGTTGGCTCGACCCGGTTCATCTGGTTCAGCCGGTTCGGTTCGGTTTTGTTTGCTCGGTTCGGTTGGGTTTTCCCTTGTTATCTGCTTATATCCTCTCAAATATCAATTTGTGCTGTGTTCTGATTTGACTCATTTTGACCTTTGTTGTTGAAGAAATTGTTGAAATGACCCCAAGTCTAGCGGAATATGAGGGTGACCGGGAGCAAGTTTGTACTAATAGTGTTGACTCAAATCCAGTTAGTAGAGAGCATCGATCACAATGGCTAGAGTCCAATTTGGTATTTGGTAATCTTTGTATTTCCCTGGGGCAAACAAGCTCATCTCCGTGGATTATTGATTTCGGAGCCTCTGACCATATGACTAGCTCTTCTAAATTATTTGAATCATATTCTCCAACATATTGCAATGAAAAAATTAGGATTGCCGATGACAGTTTCTCTTCTATTACAGGCAAGGGAACCATTAAATTAACCGAAAATATTACTCTTCAATCAGTCCTGCATGTCCCTTAATTAGCTTGCAATCTTTTATCAGTTAGTAAACTCTTTAAAGATTCTAACTGTCTTGTTACTTTCTATGCCTCTCACTGAGTTTTTCAGGACCAGACCTTGGAAAAGACGTTTGGATGTGCTAGAATGTTGGATGGCTTCTGCTACTTTGATGAGCCTTCTGGCGGTACTAAAATAACTCAGAGTTTTAGTAGTAACAGTTCTCTCTCTGTTAAAGAACAAATTATGCTTTGACATTTTAGACTAGGACATCCCAGTTTCTTTTATCTCAAATACATATTTCCAAATTTGTTTAAAGGAGTTGATTGTTCTCAATTTCATAGTGAAAATTGCATTTTTGCAAAACATCATCGATCCACATATTTGCCAAAACCTTACAAGTCCTCCAAACCGTTCTACATAATTCATAGTGATGTTTGGGGTCCTTCTAAAGTTTTAACTCATAGTGGTAGACGATGGTTTGTAACTTTCATTGATGATCATACTCGATTGTCTTGGTTTATTTATTGACAAACAAATCCGATATGAAGGATGTTTTCCAATGTTTTTACAATATGATTGAAACTCAATTTCAAACCAAAATCAGTATCTTGCATTCTGACAATGGAACTGAATATTTCAATGAACATTTGAGTGAGTTTTTAAAAAATAAAGGTATTGTTCATCATTCCACTTGTCGGGATACTCCTCAACAAAATGGTATTGCTGAACGGAAAAGTAGGCATTTACTGGAGGTTGCTCGGGCCATAATGTTTTCTATGAATGTCCCGAAGTATTTATGGGGAGAAGCAGTTCTCACAGCTGCCTACCTAATAAATCGCATGCCTACTAAAATTTTGAAGTTTAAAACTCTTCTTGATGTTTTGAAATAAAATTTTCCGACAACTCGTTTGAACTCTGATTTACCCCTCAAAGTTTTTTGGTGTACCACGTATGTGCATATTCCTAGTCCGTTTCGATCAAAATTAGATCATAGGGCTATTAAATGCATTTTCTTGGGCTATGATTTTAGGAAAAAATGGTATAAATGTTTCGATCCTCAAACAAAAAAATTACATATGAGTATGGATGTGTCCTTTTTGGAAAATCAACCTTTTTTTACCCAAAATTATCTTCAGGGGGGAAAACTAAATTTAGAGGATGATAAAGATGATAATTTCTGGGATATAACTGTCCCTCTTCCCAATGTTATAAGTCCTAACTTTACTAGTCCTTCAATGCCAAGTGTAGAAAATTCTCATTCAGGTGGAGAATTACTACGAAATGATCAAATTGATCAAAATTATGAGTTTAAGGTTTATACTAGAAGAAGGCCAATTCAAACAAATGAGGACCAGATAGCAGACTCATCACATACCCAATCTGAAACTCCGAGGAATGATTCTGAAACTCCAGGTAATCAATCTTCCATCCTTATTACTCCAAATATTGAAAATCTCTCATCTGTTGTTTCTGATCTAGATGTTCCTATAGCCTTAAGAAAAGGAACTCGAACTTGCACCAAATATCCTCTTGCAAACTATATTTCCTATGAAAAGCTGTCAAGTAGTCATAAAGCCTTTACGTCTAGGATAACTCACTTGTTTATTCCAAGGAACATACAAGAAGCCCTAAATGATCCAAATTGGAAACTAGCTGTTATGGAGGAGATGAATGCTCTTAAACAGAATTGTACATGGGAGATAGTAGATTTGCCAAGAGATAAGAAAACTGTGGGGTGTAAATGAGTTTTTACAATCAAGTGTAATGTTGATGGTAGTGTTGAAAGGTACAAAGCTAGACTAGTTGCAAAGGGATTTACTCAAACCTATGAGATTGATTATTAGGAAACTTTTGCTCCTGTTGCTAAAATCAACTCCATTAGAATACTTTTATCCCTAGCTGCAAATTTAGATTGGGCCCTTCACCAACTCGATGTAAAAAATGCATTTCTAAATGGAGATCTTGAAGAAGAGGTATTTATGAGTTTACCACTAGGTTTTGAAACTAATCTTGGGAAGGACAAAGTATGTCAGTTAAAGAAATCTCTATATGGAATCAAACAATCTCCAAGAGCATGGTTTGAAAGATTTGGTAAAGTAGTCACGAGCTATGGATTTCTTCAGAGTCAAGCTGATCATACCATCTTTTATAAACGTTCTGAAAAGAATAAAACTGCAATTTTAATTGTCTACGTAGATGATATTATTCTTACAAGTGATGATGAAGTAGAATTGGCCACCTTAAAGAAAAGGCTTACAAGTGAATTTCAAATCAAGGACCTAGGAACGTTGAAGTATTTCCTAGGAATGGAGTTTGCAAGATCTAAGAAAGGTATCTTTGTTAATCAAAGAAAATATATTCTTGATTTACTTGGAGAAACAGGTTTACTCGAATGCAAGGTAGCTGAAACTCCTATTGAACCTAATTTGAAATTGGAAGCTGCAAAAAAAGAAGAAGTAAAGGATAAGGAACGATATTAAAGCCTTGTGGGAAAACTCATTTACTTGTCCCACACACGTCCAGATATTACTTTTGCAGTGAGCATGGTAAGCCAATTTATGTACTCACCAGGATCAGTTCACTTTGAAGCTGCCTACAGAATTTTAAGATATTTGAAGGGAACTCCAGGTAAAGGTATATTATTCAAAAAACACAATCATTTAAAGGTTGAAGTTTATACTGATGCTGATTAGGCAGGAAGTATAATAGATAGAAGATCTACTTCTGGTTTTTGTTCGTTTGTTGGAGGTAACTTAGTTACTTGGCGAAGTAAAAAATAGAATATAGTGGCCAGAAGCAGTGCTGAAGTAGAATTTAGGGCTCTAGCCCATGGTATTTGTGAAGGGATTTGGATAAAAAAACTACTTGAAGAACTGAGAGTCTTTCATAAGGCAACCATACAAGTTTACTGCGACAACAAGGCTGTCATCTCCATAGCCCACAATTCAATTCAACACGATAGAACTAAGCATATTGAAATTGGCAAACATTTTATAAAGGAAAAAATTGACACGGGCGTGATATGCATTCCTTATCTCCCAACAATAGAGCAAACTGCTAATGTGTTAACAAAAGGACTACCAAAAGTACAATTTGACACGATGATTGACAAGCTGGCAATGGAAGATATTTTTAAACCAGCTTGAGGGGGAGTGTTGGTTTATTATTTGTAAATATTAGTTATAAATTAGTTGTAATATTAATTGTTATTTCCTTTTAGGTATTAAGTCTCTCTTCTATGTAAGAAGGCTATGTAATTCTTCTCAATATACTATTTTGGAATATAATATTTTATTCCTTAAAACCAAGTATAATTGTATTTTAGAGATGTGTCTCACCTCTATAGCAACCTAGTATTTTTACCTTTGAATATGAGAAATAATTTAATATTGTAGGGATCAGAAGATGGCTGGAAAATGTTGGGGAAACTAACCTTTAAAGGAGAGTTCGCAACCCAAAGATGATTCCAAAAAGAAATCCACTGACCAGAACCAAGTTTGAAAGAAGAAGAGAGTTTTGCCTTCTTCCAAATTTCCAATGCTTAGCAATATTCATCCAAGGACATCTGAGACAACCATATTCACCTTTTCTGCTGTAAACCAACCAAAGTTACCTGAGTCGTATACTTTCCCCAACTTGGCACAATGAAAGGGGTTCTAAGCCAAATCGCCAAATTCATTTGGCTAATAAGGCGCTGTTTTTCTTGGAAAGACCACCAACTCCCAAGCCACCATCTTCTACATGCTTAGAAGTAATATTCCAGTGGACTGATATTTCAGAGGCCCTTGTTAGTTACCTTCTCATAAGAAAATTCTCGTTCTTTTCAATTTGTTACAAAACCCCAAGGGCATGTGAAACAAAGAAAGATAGTGTTAGAGTATAGATATTAGTATATTTTATATTCTTGTATTAAAATTAATTTGTCTCTTACCTTCTCCTTATAGGATTAGATCAACCTTGTATATTTGTCTATATATATAGACTTTAATAATGAGAATACATCACATTGTATTCTCTCCGACCTTAGTCTCTACAGATAGTATAAAGGAACGTTGGATAACCCGAATTGCACAAAGTTAATCTTCCACCCCTAGAAAGTTGGAAACACTTCCATCTACCCAGCTTTTTTTATATTCTTTCAAGAACCGGGTGCCAAAAGTCGAGATTTAGGGTTGCCACCTAAGGGCAAGCCTAAATACAAAAAGGTAAGATTCGACCTTACAATTGAGAAAAGAAGCACCCTGTTGTAATCTTTGATCTTGAATATTGATATCACATAAGGCTTAACTTATTCCAATTAACATCTAGGCCGAATAACATTTTTTTTTTTAATAAGAAACAAACTTTTCATTTTTATGAAAAGAAAAAGACTAAAATATTCAAGGATACAAGCTTCCAATAAATAAGGAAACTTACCAGAGGTTAGTTGGAAAATTAATATATATCTCTCATACAAGATCAGATATTGCATATGCTATAGGAGTGGTAAGTCAATTTATACATAATCCAAAAGAAGCTCACCTTCTAGCCGTGTACCGAATACTTCACTATTTGAAGAACTCTATTGGGAGAGAATTATTGTTTAAGAAAGGCAAGAAACTTAATCTAGAAGTTTATACATATTCAAATTATGTAGGATCGATAAACGATAGGAAATCAACTTCTAGCTATTGTACTTTCTTTCTTAGGTGGAAACTTAGTAAAATAGAGAAGTAAAAGGCAAAGTATAGTTGCAAAATCGAGTTTAGAAGCAAAATTTAGAGCATTGGCATTGGGCATTTGCGAATTACTCTTCATAAAAACTATTTTAAAAGATTTGAAGATTCCATGAGAAGGGCATACGAAACTCTACTGTGATAATAAGTTGGCCATCAATATCACACATAATCCAGTTCAACATAATAGAACCAAACATGCTGGAGTTGATATACACTTCATAAAAGAGAAGTTAGATATGAGCCAACAAATAATCAAATAGTAGATATCCTTACGAAAGGATTAAACAACAACAATTTTGAGTATTTGGTTAACAAGTTGGGAATGGAGAATATTCATTCACCAGCTTGAGGGGAGTGTTAAATCATATTATCTTTTATTTTCCTATTGCATTTAGGTTTTAACCAACTAGGATTTCCATGTCTAATAGGTAAGTGTTTCCTTATCCTAATAGGCAAGGGTTTCTTTTTCCTTTTTAATTATTTTTTGTAGCGGTTATTTATTACCCTTGTATCAACGCTTGAAAATACAAGTAAGAATTATTTCCTCTCTTCTCTCCCCCTCCCCTCCTCTCCCCTCTCACAAGGATAATATTTAAATTATGTGTAGTAATTAATTGTTCATTTTTACTAATAATAAACCAACAACATCCACTTGTATTTTCAAGTAAGAATTATTTCAAGTGTCGAAAATACATCCACTTGTATCAACACCTAATTTAAATATTTACATCTAATATTTACTAATAATAAACCAACAATATCCACTATGAAGAATAAGAGAATGCACCCACCTTACCTAAAGCACAACCGCCTGGAGTTTCAGCATGAGCAATGTAGTAAGCCATATTGACGATAAAGTAAACTGCACCCACACATTGCAGCATTGTAATGACAAGAGCAAAACGGGTCCACCAAAGCCATCTTTTATAACTCAACTGTTCATCAAACAACATATTGAAAATAAACACATCAGCATCATTATAGAAGCAAACATAAATAATGCATTCAATTCTTTTAGATAAACACTGTTGAAGGCAGGACTAATATGTGCAAAAGATCATTTTTCTTCTATTTAAATCTCTTTTGCATATGGTTCTTTCAAAATTATAAATTATTTTGCAGGAGCTCTCTTAGCCTAGTCTAATCCTCGTTTGTACCTTGTTCTTTTCTTAGATAGCTTTTAATGGTTCTTGGTCTTATTACGTTATCCAACTTCCGTCTCGATAAAATACTCTTACGTATTTGTATTAGGGCTGTATAACGTGAAGATTATAATTACTTGAATTAATGAGCAGAAGATATATTCTCAGCTCCTTTCAACATGGTATTAGAGTGCAACTTCGATCTCCAAGGAGCAAAGTAGTATCATTCACAAACCACAGCCACCAAGTTTGTTTGCAGCATGAATCAGCCATGGCTAAGATGCCCAAATCTTTCGGCAACGTGAAAATTGGACAATCTACTTCAGGAAATGGTCCAACTCAAATTTTTGCAGCGATGAGTGATGGGTCTTTCATTCCTACTGCCGAGCATACATTAAACGAAAATAACTATCTAAAGGGGTCATAATATGTGATGACGTTCATATGTAGAAAAGGTAAGGATGATTGTTTCACTTAAACAACAACAGTACCAACAGTTATTAATCCCATATAAAGTCTGGAAAGCTGAAAACAACATGTAGTGTCCTGCCTAATCAATTCTATGACAAATGAGAATAGGGAGAGTTTTTTGCTTTGCTCGAAACTTTGGATGCTAATGAGTGAATTTTTAATTTGGAGAATACTTGTGAGTCGTTTAAAATTTAAGTCTCCTACATGACCTAGGACAAGTGGAAATGCCTGTAACTCAAATATTTTAACATTCGCAACAACCTATACGAGTATACTCGTTGGGAATGAACGGGAGACCATTAAGTACTAGAAAACTATAGAACAGAAAAGACCTTTAATTTTTTTTTTTTTTTTTAGGAGAAAACCAGCTTCCATTTCTACCATGACAGAAAAAGGGGTCAAACCAAGGGGGAGAAAACAAAATTTGCACAAACGATTTCAACTTTTGGTAATAAAAAATAATGGAAATTACAAATAATTTTGAATTATGTGTCAACCTAAGCCCAACTCAATTTATCAAGACTTTAATAACCTCCCTTAAAGGTTTTAGGTTTGAATCCTCCTAACATTCTTTAAAAGAAAATGAATTACAGACCTAAAGGAAGCATTAAAAAGGTGCCACTCAAGAAAAGGTCTTTCCCTTAGAAAGGAGGACCAGAACAACTTCCCGCATCATCTCACAAATGTTTGAAGCCGAAAGTCTACCACAAACAACCCCCACACTCAGGAAGGTGAAAGGACAAAACTACAAAATATAATTCAAATCCTCCACCCTGCTTTTGCAAAAAACATAAATTTTTAAACTAAGAACAAAATAGGAAGCTCTCTAAAGAATGTCTATCATATTGGTCTTTCCTAAGGTTATGATCCAAGCAAATGCTCGTATCTTTTTTGGGATTTTCAAGTTCCAAAAAAAAGTAGAGAAGAACAAGCAATAAGGAGAGAGAATTGAGGAGGATACCATCCGTCTAAAAAAAGATCTAAAAGACCAAAGACATTAAACTTTATAACTGGTGGTAGGAACAACTTACTAAATGAGAGGTGAAAACGAGGCAAACTCCTCAATCTTGCAATCAAAAAAGGCCGTACGAAAACAAAATTCAAAAGATGGAAGACCTACGAGCAAATGACAACAAGATAAGAAGATTTCTAAAACATGCTAATGTGTGAATCAAAGAGAATTGCATTCCAAGAGGACTTGTATTGAACCAATGGTCCTCCTAAAACCAACACCTACTGCTATCCCCAACATAAAGGGTAAAAATAGCATAAACTCGCCTTCCAAGGACTTGCGAAGGTGCCCTTAGAAATTGAATTGGTATTCCAGTTATTGGATGAAATTATGAAACTCATACTCACAATTATCCAATGTCACAAAGCCAGGGCTTATAAAAGGAACCTCCATAACCATCTAGAGAGAAGGGAGAAGGGTTGTGTCTTGCCACCTAAATTTCCTATTCCAAACCTGAATTACCTCTCCATATATAAGTGCTCCAGAGTAAATTTCCTATTCCAAACCTCAATTACCTCTCCATATATAAGCGCCCCAGTGTAAGAATGTGAGGAGTTTGGAGAAGATCACCGAAACTTCTTTTGGAAATGCTGTAATAGTGGGGGAGGTTCAAACCTTGTGAGCTGAGATATCATCACCTTATCCATCTCCAAAGGTGGTTTTGGTGTGGGAAATCTTAATTCTTAAAGCAAAAAATGTGGCCTCATTGCCACATGGGGTTCAAAATCCATGAATGAGAAAGACGCATTGTGGAGAAAAATCATCGCCAACAAATCTCACCTCTCTAAAGGGGAAGACGCTTTTAGCCTCAAAAGCCTCAGGCTTCCACTACTAAGCATTGTAGGCTAGCTGATAAATGGTACGAATTTGTGCTTGGAAAAAGATATAAGATTTTGTCATGGGAAGATCCTTGGATCATGGATATCCCCCTTCACATGGCCTATCCAAGTCCTTTTAGGGTTGCTAATTCTATAGATGCCTTCATTTGCCAATGTTGGTGTCATGCCTATAAGGGGTGAACCTTAACTTCAGAAGGAATTTGGCTGGCAGGGAGGTTGAGGAATGGGCCTCCCTTTCAACCTTTCTTGTTGGGTGTTTTTTAAAGAACAAGGAGGATAAGAAGATGCGGTCCCTTGAAGGCAATGAGCTTTCTTTGTGAGATCCTTCATGCCGAACCTTAGTGAGAAGCAACCTGACCTTAGCCAACATTTTGTTGATCTTATATGGAAAGTCAAAGTCCCTAAAAAGGTGAAGGTCTTTTTGTGAATTTTTGCTACGAAAAGGTTGAATATGTGTTGAAGAGTACAAAAGGGACTCCCTCACACTAAAATTTCCCTTAGTTGTTGTAATGATGTGTGGGAGAATCAAGCTCATCTCTTTTACTATAGCTCGTTTGCTGCAACTTTCTAGGATATTTTGTACAACTTTTAATATCAATTGGTGCTTCAGGAAGAATAGCTTAGATGCTTTTTTCCAGCTCCCATATGATACTTGCTTTAATGGCGAGCTAGACCCATTTGGTCATATGTGATGGTGGCTCTTTTGTGGAGGCTTTGGTAAGAAAGGAACAAAAGGTTCTTTCAAATGATTGGAGCTCCCGTGATATTGGTTGGAAAAACTTTAGATGCTTCGAGCTCATCAAGGGGTATCCTTATTATGTGGAATGACCCATCTTTTCAAGTTTCTTATGTTACTTTGGGGTCTACACGGTTACTATCCATCTCATTCTTTTTTACGGTTCAACGTTTTGGCTAACAGGTGTGTATGGCCCATCAAACTCAGAGGAAAAGCCCGCTTTCTGGGGAGAGCTGACTGATCCCTCCTTCCTCTGCACTAAATTCTGATTTTAACTCTGTTAGGTGGACACATGAGAAATCAACCTATCACAGGCCAACCAGAAATATGCACCACTTCAACTCCTTCATTGACCTTGCTGGTCTACAGAACCTTCTCCTTACAAACGGCCTATATTATTTTTTGAACAAAATACGAACTTTTCATTGATAAAATGAAAAGGAACAATAATTGTTCAAGGATACAAACTCTCGAAAGAGTGAAAAAGAAACGTAAAAACAAAAGAGAACACCAATGAGATGCTTCGAGCTTGGCGGATGAGAGACAATCGAGCAAAAATCTTCTTTTGTTCTTAAAGATCCTCAAATTCCTTTCAAACCAGATTTCTGAGAGAATTTTCTCTTTACCACAATAATCCATAGAAGTCTTGCCATAGGTGACAAGTGTGTGACTCCACTTAACAATTGAGACAAATTTGCTTCGGCCCTCAAATCAAAAATCCAATTGATCTTGAACTGATCAAAGAGAGAAAACCAGCCTTGATTGCCATAAGAATAATGAAAGAACAAATAATCAATATCTTCCCCACTCCGATTCACAAAGAACACAAAAAAAATGAAGCATTGAAGCTATGGGAAGCTTCTTTTGAATCAAATCACTAGTGTTTAACTTCCTTTGAAGCATAATCCAAGAAAAGATATTAACTTTCCTTGGGCTTTTAGACTTCCATAATGTTGTAAATAATTCCTTAGGCATCGAAGAGGAATTATACAATCTGCAAACTGAATTTACAATAAACACCCCTGTAGGATCAATGCTCCATTCTCTTTGGTCCTCCTCATTAGTAATCGAAAATGAGCTAATCACCTGTAGCAGGCCAGCAAACTCATGTAGCTCATCTTCCTTCAAAGGTCTTCTGAGAATAATGTTCTATGAACCAGTAGCATTGTCCCAAAAATCAGCCTACATAGGTGGTCCGATTTTAGGGACCCCCCACTCTCACTTTGATTGATAGATTTTTGGCTACTAATAATTTTCTTTTGAAATTTCAGAATGCGTCTGTCAAAAGATTGAGTCGACCTACTTCCGATTATTATCCTCTTCATCTCTCTTTTGGCATGACAAAATGGGGCCCCTCTCCATCGGCCTATGTATGTGGTCCGATTTTAGGGACCCTCCACTCTCACTTTGATTTATAGATTTTTGGCTACTAATGATTTTCTTTTGAAATTTCAGAATGCGTCTGTCAAAAGATTGAGTCGACCTACCTCCGATCATTATCCTCTTCATCTCTGTTTTGGCATGACAAAATGAGGCCCCTCTCCATTTAGGTTCAAAAACGCTGGGATGCAACACCACTCTTTCCCTCCTCGGATCGAATATTGGTGGAAGAACACCCCCCCAGAGGCTGGCTGGGCCATGGTTTCATCATGAAACTTAAAGGGGCCGAAAGCGATGATCAAAACTTGGAGTAACACAACCTTTGGTGGCTCTTTTTCTTTTTCTTTTTTGATAA